ATTAGAATAAAATAAGTTTTAATAAAATAAATTAGCAATTTTTTTGTGACATACTTTAGAAAGAAAACATTACTGAACATGTTTTTCTCTTGAGAACGCAATGCCTGCTGAACATCTTTATTACAAATACTGTCATGTAACATGTCCATGCATATAGGCAGATACCTCCCCAGAACTCTGAGCCTGTTGCTGAAATCAGTTCTTGATCATCTTCATAGGAAAATGTTAAGGTTTATTCAAATTGTATTAAATAGTGACAAAATAAATCTTTAAACAAAACAAAGTAAAAATTCTCATATCTCCTAATTACTACTACTGTGCTTCCCAATTTTTCTCTGCATTTTGTAATGGAAAATATGAGACCATATTATTTTAGTCACAAAAACTTGATATTATTTGTCTTACACTATATCATAAGCCTTTTTCTCTTGTTTAAATTGGAAGTAAATGTAAATTATGAGGTTTAAAAATGAAGTTGTTCTCATTTGTTAAATGTTAATTAAGTTGAGATTACTATCTGGGAACTTAAATTTTCTAAGGATAAAACAGTGAATAATGAAACTTAATCTATTTTAATTGAGGTCACACTCAGTGGATAGACATAGATATTAGGAAACAAGGAAGACTGTATATTATAGAGAAATAAATGAGTATTCTTTTAATATATTCTTTAGTATATTCTTTTAAAGGTATATATAAATTTACTTCTCAGTATAAGTGATTAGGTGATAGATATCTTGAACTAACTCTGCTAATTCCTTCTTAATTTGTCTCCAAACACTAGGTCATGTAAAGCCCTTTCTAACACTAGTTTGCAAATCTTCTTGCCATGACCCAATTCTGGGAAAAGTAAGACTTTCTTTCACAGCATCACTTCTATCATGTTTTTTTACAGATTCTAAGTCTGCATCATGGTTACTTAGTGAATATACTTTCTCTGTTATAGGATTTCTGCGTCTAGCTGGACAAGATGGACTTTGCTCAGGGAGAGTAGAAGTGAACCCTAGAGGAAGGTGGACTCCAGTGTCTGATGTGAACTTCACGTTCCCCACTGCCCAAGTTATATGTGCAGAGCTGGGGTGTGGCAAGGCTGTGTCTGTCCTGAGGAATGTGTCCAGGAATGCCAATGAGAAGCTGTGGGCTGAAGAGTTCCAGTGTGTGGGGCAGGAGCCTGAGCTCTTGTTCTGTCCCAGAGCACCCTGTGCTGGAGGCAGCTGCCAGCATGGTGGGGCTGTTGAGGTTGTCTGCTCAGGTGAGACTCACAGCAGGAATTTCACCTCCCTGCACAGTCTCAATCTCTTTCTCTTTGTCTCCTTCTTTTTCCCCCTCTCTTTTAATCATTCTTCTCATTTCTCTCATGCAGAAAATAGATGATAAAGCAGTTCCTTAGTCCAAATTATGTGCTCTAGTGTTTTCAGAGCAGCGATATGGCTTATCTTTACTCAGAGCCAGAGTTAGAAACACATATTTTTTTTCCTCAGAGACCAAATACTAAGTTTGTTTTATTTTATGTTTGGAACTGGGAATTGAACTCAGAATCTGAAGATTGCCAGGTAGGGGCCTTGCCACTGAGCTATATCCCGGGCCCCAAAATAATAATTTTGAAGAATTTCAAGTAGAAAATATTTTTGTTTGCTTAAAATCAGCAACTTTGTATGATTCTAGGAGGAACCTGACCAATATTATTTGACATCATCTCATATATGAGATTGTACAATGTACTCAAACAGAAGCATATTTTTAATCAAGTACATAGATATGAACTCTGAAACCTACATTTATAAGTGAAATATTCTTGAATGAGCTGAGGATTGCTTTATGATTCATTCTTCCAGCTCTCAGTAACTGTACCAACAAGAATAATTCTGATTTTTCCTGGATCCATGGCTGCCACCTGATGAGCTTGAAAGGGAAAAACTGTACCAGAAAAATTGTGCTTTAAAAAAAAACTTTGTTCTTTTGAAACTGCCTAGCTCTGTAACTGCTTCGTGTCTCTGTAATTACTTTCTTGACCTCTGTAACCAGGAGAGCACAACCAAACATACAGGATGTCTAATTGTACCAAACTTCATGATCATTAGTCTAGTCTTGTAACTAATGATCTCAGCCTGCTAGCTAATCAGAAGAACTGCCTGGCTGTTCTGTCTCTCCTTTGTACCTCCTGCTTATGTGTCATATAAAAGCCCTAGACCATCAGAGATCGGGGCCTGGTATTTTGGGAAAGATCCCAATCAGTGCCTGTCATTGTAAAATAAATCTACTTCCAAATCTTGGGTGTTATTTTGGTGTTTCTGTTTGCTGTAGCAAGCTCACCTCAGTTCATTACAGCAGTGATTTAATTTAATGTGTTCTTATCCTTCTAACTATCAAATCAGTGACAGTGGAGTTTGGATGGTGAACAAGAAATCAAATTCAGGCTCTGGCCCATTATGGTTACTCTTACAACACATTAAGTGAAAGACACTGTTAACCACCCGGAGTAAGAAATCTGACATTTTCAGCATATTTTTCTCATAACCACAATTCTGGTGGGGCACTGGTCAGTTTCAGTCTGACACTTTTTACTGGATTATTTTCAGTTTACTTCCATCTCTTATTTTCAACCTATCAATCTCATCAGTTTTGTTTCAGTCAGAAACCAGGCCCCACTGCTGGTCTGATGCAAGGTATTCTTATCTTATCCAGGAAGCTCTGTACAACAAAAATAGAGTGCTACCAACTACTTGGTTGACATAGAAAATCTGATTTTCTGCATAAAAGTAATCATTAATATGATTCTCTTTTCACAGAGAGCCCACAGCTCCGCCTGGTAAATGGAGGCAGTCGCTGTGTTGGAAGAGTAGAGGTGCTTCACCATGACTCCTGGGGAACCATCTGTGGTTACAACTGGGACACAACTGAGGCTGAAATAGTGTGCAGACAATTGAGCTGTGGAGGTGCCCTGGCTGCTGTAGATGCTACTTACTTTGGGGCTGGATCCGGGCCGATCTGGCTGGAGGACCTGAGATGCACAGGACAGGAGTCCCATGTGTGGAAGTGCCCTTCCTTAGGCTGGAACAATACCTACTGCAGTCACCAGGAGGATGCAGGAGTCATTTGCTCAGGTATGGTCAGTGCACTGTATAGTGCATGGGTGAACAGAAAGTTTTTGGCAAGTAAGGGGATGAGCTCTGGGAAATGGAGAATGGATAGATTCTAGAAGACTGATGGATGTGTCAATAGACTGCTCAATGCACCCTAGGATGATGGATTTCATTTATTTTCCCTTATATCTCTCCTCTGCTGTTTTTCCTACCACTTTAGTCATACCCAAGAAGGAAGCTCATTCTAGTATCATGCCAATTAAAGTTAAGTTTTACAGGGCACTTGGCCTAGCCCTCAACATCCTAAAGCAAGTTATGCAAAGGCTTAAATAAAGAGACAAGTAGTATGGTTTTGGGGGACCCAGGAAGGTCAGAACTCTCTAGGAGTAAAGACAAGAATTTCCTAGACAGCTAGTATTTATTAGGTTTCCATAGGTTAGTGGGGTGCAGGAAGTGGAGGGTAGGAAAACCCATGAAAGAAGTTAGAACAAAGGTAGAATATATGGCTAATTAAGAGAACTGTTTGATCTCTAAGACTGACCATTTATTATTGTCCTTGAATATTCAGTGGCCTGCAGCTGCAGCTGTATCTTGTCTGCAGAGACTGCGAATCTGGACGACATTGGTTAGCAGCTTAACCCTTACACAGCCTGGTCTTCAACAAAGTTTTTCAATTTTATTTTTCTAACTTACTTTTTATATGAGTAAAATAACTGGAGATTGCTACAAGTTTTCCCTTCTGCAGCAATGAGTTTGGTAAATGGAGGAATTGCATGAAGTAACATTTTTAATGGTCAAATTCAGTGGTTCATTATACATAGCATGACGCATCATTTTACACTAGGTGAGTCCCTAACTAGGCACTGGAGGTAGGATTAACAAATCACTGAAGAATTTATGGAATATTTCAAAGTTGCAAGTCTCCTTTGTAGACTCAGATGCTAGTATTCCTTGCACTTGGAAGGGAGAGCCACAGAAATGTGGATGAAATCCTGAGTCATAGGTTCTTTCAATATTATATATAAAAAAGATTTTCTATATCATTTCAAAACAATATCTGTGTAAATTCAAACTTTTGAGGGGCATTGAGCTCTGTGCCACCAGATCAATGCTGGATGCAATAAGAAGTTAATGTATTTGAATTATGATAAAATGATATTGCTTATGCCTGATGGTGTTAGTGATTTTTTTTTTTAATTTTAGAAATTAAAGGAGGAAAATACTAACAGA